CTGGAAAATGTAACACAGATCTGAAAATCAAATTAGCCTCCAATCCAACAATAGAAAAACATATACCTGCATAAATTGGGGCTAAATTTGCCAGACCTTCATTGTATTTGCTTCTTTCCCTCTCCCATTTTCAAATGCACAGCTTGTTTATCTAACACAGCTGCCTCCATGCAATTTGCTCGAGGTTTGTGCCTCAGGCATCTTCTCTCTGTTTATGAATCCATGACACAGACATATTGATGCCCTAGTTGATGGTAACAGTTGATTTTTCACCTGTAATACATTTGTCTGTAAGAATCTCTTCAAGGAAAACTGGAACTAGAACCTAGAACTTCTTTTAAATAAGGACAAAATGAATTTGTATTAAATGATGTGCTATAAAAATTTACACTTGTAATTCAAATAGATACTGTCCAAATAGACACATAGTTCCCATGTTAAAATATCTTTTGACATAACTGCAAAAGTTAAAAGGAGAACAAGTCACAAAAGCTATTTCTAGCAGCCAGTTTTCAATAAGATTATGAATTGACAGCTTCAGAGGGCTGTTTCTGACCTGAAGGTTTCCCTCTTTGCACTGAATACTTAACAGCAGGACAGAGGACTTGAGACATCTGAGAGAGCCAGTGCCCTTGAGCTTGTACTGCTATCAACTACCATGGTCCAGAATCTAGACCTTTATTTCAAAAGCTTTTAGTTTTGTGTTTGCAAAGATAACCATAGAAGTGAATTGAGTATAAACCAATGCAGCAGTGTCAGCATCAGTCTGAAGACAGGCCTAAGCAATAACTCTGAGAGAATTATGTGATCTGTTTTTTTAGGACTACTTTATGATCTTAAGTTGCAAACTAATTACAATAACTTAAATATCAGTTTTGTTAACTGCTTCACTGTTGTTCACTGCATGCAAGAAAGACAAGTATAGACATTTCAGGAAGGTTTCTTAGGAGTGACATTCATGTAACAGAATTTGGGAGAGTACAAGACTGCTTTTCATAAACTCTGTTTTCAAATGTAACACACCTAGGAAAAACACTGAAGTTCTAAGAAAATTTCATGATGTGTACCATTTCCCATGACAAGCTGTGTCAAAGGGAGTACCTTTGCTCACATTTGAAAGAAAGCTAGGATTATTGAAGAAGAATTATATATGTAAAAGTCCTTGTTGGTATGTGCTTACCTACACCTGAGGTTAGTTAAAAATTTAAATACAGGAAACTTTCAGTATGGGGGGAGAAGTCAGGTTCTTGGACATGGTACACCAAGCTCTGTCTTGTGTGTATCCCTTCTTGTGTTATCTTTTTTGCTGAGCAATAACACCTGAACAGTTATTGCAATATACAGTATTTGACATTACTGCAAAATTTAAAAAAAAAATGTTACGTTACAAATGTGAGAACAGAGGCAAAGTACTTGAAAAAAAAAAAGAATAGATGTTAGAGGTTACAAGGATAAAAACAGAATGAATCATAAAATGCAGTCAGAAGATACTTGGGGAAATGTGACAATATGCAACAAAATTGTTAAGATGCAGGTAACTAGGTTATAGTTGCATTTGAAATCTAATGAGCAGTCGGAGTCTGAAACCTTGGAACCATAAGAATTAAACTTAGTGAAGTAATGCGTTTTCCCTTTTCTTGCTTTGGAGGTTTTATTTTTCTGTCTAGAGGTTGCAGACCTAAGTTTCATTGTATTGTGCCTGCACTCAGTTTTACATGTAGAACAGATATGGAACAATGGCTACCATTTAAGAAGACATTAAAAAAAAAAGAAAAGAAATAGACACTTGGTGTGGGGTCACAAACTGCATCCAGTAAAATCACTAGCAAATTCCCCATGGATTTCAACAAGGACAGGATTTCACCCTCAATTTGGATGAAGTGGGGTGATGTGCTGCACTGCTGGTATGTATCACACAGGGAAAAACATGGTTTACGTGAGTATAAGTTTACGTGAGTATATATAAGTTTATGTGAGTATATATACTTAGGGTATAAGTATATTCTTTGTCTTATAACTCAGCAAGGAAAGGGTTTGCTCATTTGGTTCATATGCGCAAGGGCTAAGTTGGAGTCTAAGCCATTGCATTCCTGTTGACTGGGATCACTAGGGAACAGTAGAAGGTGATACATTGCTGTCAGCCGTCCTGGTCTCCAGCTGTGTCCTTCTAATTCGAGTCTGGCTTTGGAGACAGAGCTGCTTTTGGAAGCTGATGACACTGGCTGTTTTAATCCATAAATTCCCTGGCATCTTCTTTCTTAGTTTTTAATAAAAGTTGGTAATTCTGGTAAGGGATTTTCAGTTGTTTTTGTGATATGTTAGCACACTACATGAGCCAAGGCTCCTAAGGTAGCCCTGTGGTCACAGGTCAGTGACGCCACCTAGGAGCTACCAGACACAACTGAGAGGTGGTAGTCCATCCAGCAGGCTGTGTGGAGAGCTAGGCTGCCAGGGCAGGAAAGCTGGCTTGCCTCTGCAGCAGGCTCCCCAGGAACATACTGAAAATCCAGTCAAACATAGCAAGCAGGTCTTACTGACAAGAGTTTTGGTGTTTTAGAGAAAAGTTTATCATAAGGCCTGCCTATATTTCTCACAGTTTCCCCACAAACTGTGTCACGGCTTCCTTACCTACGACAGAGCCTGTTTTGTTGCAACATCAAGATGTGTCAAGTTGAACTCTGTACAACTCGCAATCAGCAAGTCAGGGTACTTGCCTTTAAGTTTTGGAGTATGGGGAATTTACTTTATGTATCTCTTAGAGATTTTCTGAATTTATGTTAGTTAAAATTTTCATTGTGTTCTAAGGCAGGTGGAGTTAGATTTCTGGTCACCAAGACACCTGGTTTTAGAGACTGGCAGACCTTTAAAATAGAGCCCACAAAGTAAAATTCCCTAAACCACTGCTAAGATAGATCTCAAAAAAAGTGGACTTATTGACACATACTTAATATATGACTGTTTGCTGTAATATAAAGATGTAATTTGCATTCTTGAGGAAAGACCTCTGTAGTTACTGAATGAGTTCACCACTTATGACCCATTGGTTATGTAAGCATGCAAGCAGATGCTCAGCAAACTTTTAGGCCACATTATTCTCTAAAAATTGTCTTGCGTATATTCTGCCACATCTCATTTTCATTTCAAGTACACATAATAAGGGAGATCTATCTAACTGTTAAGTTTCACCTAGTGAATAAAACAATGTAGGATGCCTGTTATTTAGGGAAATTGTGTTATTTGTGAAAGTATTGTTATTCCTTTGACTCCGTGCTGCTTTCTTATTTTGAAGCTACTTTGACAGCTGACACTTATTCCTGTGGCTAAACTCCTAGCAGTTACTTCTTAGCTTACCCAACTAGGGACATGAATGAAAAAGTGGTAAATACCACCCAATTTCTATATTTGCAAAATCTTGGGATTCCATGGCTCTTCTGTCCTGATCCCCTCTCCAACACCCCCCCAAACATACAGTTATGTTTAGGGGGTGACTTTTCTCCATTTAGAGGGGTAGTTTGTTGGCCACTTCTCATTAGTGTACTTTTTTACTGTTACATTTTATTGTAAGGCTTATGATTTTAGAGAGAGAAATACTCTGATAACTGCTCAATGCTCCTTTGAATACAAGATTGGTCTCCATTTGGACTTGTATTTTCTATTGTTTTCTTCTAGCTTAGTTTTAGATGTCCTAAAGAACAAGCCTCTCCCCTGGGGGCATTTGCAAAGTCTAGTAGATCATTCTGTCAGGAAGTTTCTCCTGCTATTAATTTTAAATTTCCTCCTTCTTGATTTCATTCCATTACCCCAAGTTTATACTTCCTGTACTTTCCAAATAATTCCTTCCTCTTCTGTGTGTTTATATTCTGCACATACTTGCAGTGATTGTCTCAGCCCAGTTATTATTTCATTACCATAGTCATGCTTACCTCTTTTAACCTTTCCTTGTATCAGTTGAATCAGGTCCTTTATCAGTCCATTTCTTTACTCTGAGTTATCTCAAATTTGACAAGATTCTTCTGATTGATAATAAGATTCCCAATATTTTTTACTTTGTATGGTTGTATTTTAAAATACCTGTTATTCACAGAACACACAATCATTTTAAGACAAAAGTTATCAGCCACTGTTGAAAAAACTATTTACTACTTGCTAATTTTTACTGCAAGTTATTTATTGTTCGAGTATTTACAGTCATGCAGAACGTCTAAAGCGTGTTTAAGCATTGGATAAACATATACGTTTACCGGTGAACACTGGCAAATTCAGTTGTGCCTATATGCAGGAAGTAGCATATTCCCTTGATGACCTGTACCGTAAGGTCATATGGAGACTGCCTCTTGTATCTGTGAAAGAAGACTGTTTATTATGCTCTTGACTTGTGAAGTTCCCATTATTAAACACTTCTGTGTTTTGGTAGGCAGCTTTTGGCCAGGTGTTATGATGTATGCATTGTAGTGCATTGTATCATAACTCTCTGCCCCACTCCCGAACATGTGAATTATTAGTTAGCCTTCCAGTTTGCATAATCTCTGTGGACAACTGTGGTCAAGTCTTGGTTATGCTCCAAGCCAGAGCGGTATGGCTTGTGAAAACAGAAGTTTTGCATCATTCATTTGCTCTTAATACTTCTTACATTAGGGTCTATGCCTGGTCAGTTTAATCCTGCTGTCGTGGGATTTAACGTGGTTCACAGCCAGTGCATGAACAGCAAATGTATTTTGAAACAATTTGATACATGCTGCATCCAGAAAGAAAGAAAGTTTACCAAAAAGTACTGCTTCTTAAACATGTACTACCTATCTGAGGAGGGATCTGCCTGCTGAAAATAACACATAGAAATGCATAGCTTTGTTAAAACGGCTCATTCCAGCACGCAAGTACTGCGGTGATGGGCATTCTGGAAAACCCTAAGATAGGCGGGTAGGTTCCTTAAACACAATGTGTATGTTTCACAAGGCATTCTTTTGGTTTTGTTTTGTAGCCTAACAGCAGTGGTCAAGTAGTCCATGACAGATACTAAACCCATCACTACATCCACTGAAGGTGAGGCATCTTCACCTACAGCAGCCAGTAAGTATTTCTTTAGGAAACAAAAAATGTCCATCAAAGATTCGATATGATCTCAAATTGAGGCCAGAAAAAGGCGCCTTTTCCTACTATTTGACCAAGTGGATGCTCATCATTTTGCATGGAGAGCAAATGTGATCTGACTGCAAAGCTTTTCCTCCTCAAATTTCAACTGATGCATCATGTTACACAAACCAAAGTTTGTGACATGACAACAAAAATGAAAGGGAAAAGCCTGCGTATTTGACCGCTATTCAAGAAAAAGAAAACATGGTTGCTCATCTAAGGTGGACATTGTTAAGACATTGAGAAGCACACCCAGACAGCAAGGTTTTATAATGACCCACAGATGGAATTCCAAACAGAGATTGAATAATTTGCTCCTCAATGAGCTTTCCTACAGAAATCAAGCCTTGTTACAATGCATACTGAATCTGAGCTATGACAATTGCATGTTGATATAGGTTGTGTCATTTTTAGCAAAAAAACCTGATGTGGCAAAATAAAATTTTAATTCCTTGTCATTGCTGCAATGGATGGTAGATCCACTGTTCTTTTTTAAACAAACAAACAAACAAACAAATGCTAACTTTAACGTTTTATGATCTTTATTACTATTTAGGACCATATTATCTGTCCTATTATCTTCAATGGAATTGCGGTTTTGGAAATAAGAGCAAAGGTGTTACTATGCATAGGGTAATCTCTTCCAAATACTCATCTTGTGCTCAGTGATGCAGAATGTTGCTTTTTAACTACTTTATGCATTTCTGTTGTCTTTGGACTTTTATTTGGACTTGAGATGGCCAGTGTTACCAGTATTTATCAGGGCGGTGAAGATTTTTAGGAGACATTTCCAAACACACACTTTGGAATAGAACTTACCAGCATTTAAAAATATTAACGTCTTCAGGGTCTGTTACATTAAAATGACTTGCTTTAGACCTGTTTAGTGTTTGAACTGTGAATCCAGTCCTTAACTTTTGGTCTGTTGTTAACAGAAACCATAAATTGTATGTTTCTTAGGTGTTATACTACTTTAAATCTTTTCATCAGAATGTGAAGCAGAGATGAGATTCAAATGCATAGGAGTGGCAGAGAAGTAAAGGAGGAAAACCAGTTATACCTTTATTATAAAAGGATAGTAGTAACTTTTGGACCAACTATTGTTCAAGTAAAAAAAAAACAATCATGTGGATAGATTTATGGAAGTATTTTAGCTGTTCTTTTAGTATAGCAGAGGTTTTCTTAAAAGGTGGTAGAGTATATCTGTATCCTCCTTGGTGGTTTGTGGTACAGTTCTTGCATCTTTTAGGAGAGTTAGTTTTAGCAACAAACAAGAAGCTGTTGCTCTAAACTTTTGATTCAGAACAGAAACTGAGAAAATTGAGTTCATGTATAGTTTCATGTATTCATGATTTCATTCTGCTTCCAAACATGACCGGGCCTGGCCTAAATAGCTGTCTCAGATGAGGTCAGGGTTTCTAATACAAATGGCAAAAAGAACAAATACAATGTCAGAACTGCGTTGGGATGTTTTCTGGTAATCTGACCATATTATTCATCATTAGAGGAAAGCACACCTAATCTGTTCATTGTCCTACTCCTAAGGGAAAAATTTGGACTATATTTTCAAATGAAGTCGACACCCAGTTTCTCATGCAATTCATTGGAATTTGGGTACCTGATTCCCCATGAAACTTAGAACATATCAGCTTAGATATTTGAAATAAGGCCTCCTCATGCTTCCCGAGCAGTGTGCAAGTAATTTCATGCCTAAAGATCCAATGTCTGTTACTACAGCACATAAATAATAACAAAAAACCCCTTTATTTACAAATTTTATTTGAATGTGCCAGTTCTGCGTATGAGATAGTGTATAAATGCTACATGTTCAGAGTGTTATGGTTTTCAAAGCAGTGCAGTAGTCTATCTGGTTGGTAAAGCCTTTTGAAACTGGATTGGTAACTGTAAGAGGAAAAAAGTGAAGGAACATAGCTTGTTGATGAAGAAAATAGCAAAAAACTGAAGGATCATGTCCTGCTGGTGTATAAATTATATATGAATACATATAAGCTGTATTATCAGTTATAATAGACCTGCCACACAGAGTGCTAATGTTAACTTAATGGGAAAATCAAGACTAAAGATATTTTAAGGTATAGTTTTACTTTTATTTGCAATAATTGATTGATTGGTTCAAAATATATATAGATATTTATATGTAAAACATACACTTAGCGAACAAGTTATCATTATTATTCATTCTGATGAGAATAAAATGAAAAATGAATAGCACTGGTTTTCATTCTGAGGTGCAATAGCAGAATTGTTTTGAATGAGAAAGAACAGCAGGCTTTGATAATATTTGGGGAACCCTGTGGCCTCCACCATAGTTTCCTTCTAATAAATGATGAATTTTTATGACAGTTTTCAGTAAAGACTGTTTACTGTTTAAAGCCTTTTTTTTTTTTTAATTTAATTGATTTCATTTGCTTGTATTTGCTGTGTGACTTTAATATTAACAGGCCAATTCAGTAAGTACTCCCATCTAGCTCCTCACTGGCATCCTTGTGTATGTCTGTTCAGTTTTAGTAGTTTTGCTTTGTCTGCCAGCAAGTTTCCAGGCAGTGAGTTGCAGTGCGGACATCTCCACACTGGGAAGTGGAGTAAGACCACCTACCTCATTTCATAAGTGCCACCAAAAGCCATGAGAGAGTAATGGCTTTTAGGGATTACTGACAGAGACAGACAGGAATGTGACCTACAGGTGAAGGATCCATATCCTGTAACTAATTCCAGCATTACCTACCATTCCCTTTCTCCTCAGAAATGGATTTCTTTAATCTTCTGTAGCAGACAGTGAGAGACTTCCTTAAATTGTCCCTCTGGGAAAACGTTGTTTCTTGATGCATAGGGGAGTTGAATATTTAACATTAGATTGCACAGTAAAAATTAGCTCCCTTCTCATGAAAATACTAATCAGATTACATCCTGTTTTCAAAAGCCTGTAAAGATTCATGTCATGCCACATAAGCTGAACTTCGATTCCAACTTTTTTTGTTCTTTTACAGTTCTTTTACAGTTTTGTGATAGGCCTTCACAGCAGTAAGAGTAATAAGTGTGCACTAATATTTTCTCTCAACATTGCAATCTCAGTGATTTCACTGGTGCCTTAGATTGCTGTAGTGGAAATGAGATTCAGGCTCGTGATTCCTTCAAATACATATCTTATTTAATCACTTAAAAAATATATGTATGTATTAATCAGAGGAACTTTTATTTAACAAGAGACATCATTATGATTTACACATGCAGCTTCCATTGAAGTTTATAGGAATTTACACGTCTTTCCAAATTTGGTCCAATTTTTCTTTTGCATTCTATTAAAGTCTAAATAAAGGAAAAACACAGACACATCCTATATAATGCAAAATCATAACTCTGGATCTCTCATATTTGTGCTGTACCTGCACAGGGTAATACTTATGATAGGTTGGTATTTTTATCAATCTGTTTTGTTCTTCCTTAATCAGCCTACACAGCCTCAGGCACATCCCAAGCCAATCGATATGTGGGACTAAGCCCAAGAGACCCATCCTTCCTACACCAGCAACAGGTGGGCAAGTTTCACATAGGTGTAATGATATAGAGAAGCTTTTGCAATATTACCTTCCTACGTGCTGCCACTGTTATCTTGGATTAGACTGGGATCCTAAGGGTTTCAGTATTTGTCATCGGAAGATGAAGCTTATTCAAAACAAAACTGAACCCTTTAAGAAACATCAATTTAACACATGCTTTATTTCTTAGATTTGTGCCATCTTAAGGAACTTCTAATCATGTTTCTTTCAATTATTTTATTTTTCAAGAGCTCATACATGTAATCTTTAATAGGATTTTAGGAAAGAGAATGACGTGTATAAGGAACAATGCTCATTTCAAAATTAGTTTAAAAAATAAGGAAAATTTCCAAAGCAAAAAGTCCAAATTATTATTTTCAAGCTATTTTGGTGTTTTTGTTCCCCCCCCCCCCCGATGTTTCAGCCTACATTTCTTCATAGTAGTTCTAGAAGATGAGTTATAAAACCAAATTCTCAATGCAACACATCATCATTTCTAGTTTAATAGGTTTAAATTGGTCTGCTGATTCCAAACATGATAAACCCACATTTTTGTTCTAGTTTCTTACATCATTTATGTTTCAAGTAGCATTTTAAATTTCACATCTCATTAATGCTGTAAATTTAATGCAAATGAAGTGTTTACCCAAACTGTGAAAACATACAGCCGAGATTAATGATGGCTTACAAACAAATTAGCTGCAGTCAGTAGCAAGGCCACGTGTATACAGAAATGTTACATTGCTAGTAACAGGAATAAAGTCAGACCCTTTAGAACTTTAACATATTTTATGATGTGTGTTTGTATTGCTCCTAGATCTTAACAGCAGAGGACTTTGAAATTAACAGCATGTAAAATGTTATAATGAAAAAAGTTGAATGTGGCAGTAAGAAAAGAGCAGTTAAATAGTCCTTGGTATTTATTGTACTGTATTTTTTTCTCAGGCTTGGGTTCCTGTCAACAGTTGGTACACATGCCTGATGCATTTTTCAGTAAAACCTACCTGTTCTGTGTTTGTTGAGATATAGCTGAAGTGTCCCTCATCTGGAACTCCCTATCCCTATCCACTCCCAGGGCAAGGTGGCAGTATGTCCATTTTAAAGGTCACTACATGCAGAGTTCAGAGAAAATCATAAAGATGATTATTTATTCAAGACAGTTGATGCTTTGCCAACTTTTTTTTAACCAGTGAGACCTAACTGGAAACATCTGTACACTTTTATGAAAATACCAAATGACAATTAGTGGTTTTGCCAACAATTCATTTTTCAGTAAATTTTCTGGTGCATTGCTTTTTGTTTTAACCTCTCAAAGATTGTTGTATTATGAAATGTGTTATAATTACTATAACATGGTTCTTTTTCAAAGATATAATATATATGCTTATTGTATTGTATCTTAAAATACACACAACATCTCTCTTTTTAAACACAGTGCATGTAATTTCTGGATTTCCTTTCGTGTGAAGTTTTACATAGTTTTACATACTCTGACATCCAGTTAATTTGGGGATGTGCAATTTTTTTTTTCACTTCTTGTTTTTAGACACATTTTTTTCTGCAAATTTGCTACTGCTTAAGCCCACTCCACCTTCTTCCAAGTTCATTTAAAAGAGTTACAAACTTCTTGTCACATGCCAGAAGGTAGTGGCAGCACACTTAATTTTCTCTTGGCTGAGTTTATGACATGTAAATCATATATTGCTTATTTCATGCATCTTCTATATGTTTTCAGCTTTGTGTAGATGGAATTAAGTTTGGAGATTTCAGCAGTGTCATAGGAACATAAAAGTGAGAGGGATCTCAAGGGTCATCACAGTCTTTGGTGTTTACATGTACTGTGTCTTGTACTCCCTTTCATGGTAAAACATGTGGCCAGATGGCTTAGGGGAAGGGGAAAATAAATTAAGTCTCATATACACTTCATAAACAGAAAAATTCTTCAATGCCACTGTGTGAAACCAATGTTCTCCCTTCTAAAGTATATTGCTTCATAGTCTTGTTATATTAATTCAAGTGCATCAGTTGGTGACCAGTGAGCCACACAGTAAATTTAAAAATTGTGTCATGGTTTCATCTTTGCTGTGAATTCTCTATTCTTTTCTAACTTATGCAACGGATATATGTGTATGCTTGTCTGAGTGTGTTTGGGCCAGGGTGGGGGGGACATGTGTGGATGCTTATACATACAAATATGTACAAAATTAGGGAATAGTATGTACTGCTGAAACCATTCGAAAGAACAGAATACTTCAATAACAAAGCTTTTTCAGATAGATAAATACAAATATTTAAGTGCGTATCTGTAAGTTTCTAATGAACTAGCTACCTTCACTCACTTAAATCCTAAAGGCATCTCTGAGATGACAGTGCCATATATGTTTATTACCCAGAAAGTGAGGTAGAGCACTGAGATTGTCTAAACAACTTTAATAGAGCAAAGGTTATCCTTTGGTAAGGCAGAAATGAGATTGATTTACTATGTCCTTTCATTACTTTACAACAATTTAGAGGAGACCACTCTTCTTGTGGCAGATTTTAAATGCATTTGGTTTAAAGCAGCCCATGATGAATGAAAAGAAAAATCAAGGGGTACGTGAAATAAAGGTAATCAATCATTTTGTATTAGTGGAGAGATATTCTAAATTAGAAAGCCAATGGTTTTAGTTCCAGAGAGGTCTTTTAAACATTCACCATACCCTGTAATGCACATTGACCCCTCAAAAATAAATATTGTCACCGGTACATTTTTTTACTTCATTAGAGGAGTCTTTATGAAGATTTATTCTCTCTGGTTATGAGAAATATGGGCATACACCGTTGAGTACTTTTTGTTGCTGTTGAAAAGAACCATTATGTAGCCTGTTTAAATTGCAGTAACCACAATAAATTTAAAAGTTACACATGTATTTTGCAACACACACTTACATGGAATCTTCTGACAAAGTGATAGATTGTTACAACTTCCAGTAAACAATTTATAGCACAACCTATCTGGTGTACTCACATGTAGATGGGAAGCACTGAATACAACTTTGAAAGACAGCGCATAATAGCACCAATGGGAGCAGTTTATTTGCTTTTACTGATCTGGATACTGTGAAAATTCTGTTGTTACATGCATTACTTAGCATGATACGTTGATAGTTAGGAAGACAAGGTTCTAATGAGGAATTATAACTATGCAGCCTACTTTCTGCTGCAATTGCTGGTGGATCTTCCTGTTACCTGCCTTGAAATGCCAGGTATTTCTGCACTGAGACATGAATAGTTACAAAACATATCTCTTGCTTCAGTGGCATCTAGAGAGTCACATGTATCTTATAATTTTGTTGTAAAAAAGTCATGTGAGGCCCCCCCCCCAACTGTCTACTGCAAATTGTTAATGACCACTTAGTTTGCTTTTCTTGATTCAGCATCAGCTTCTGAGAGTTGTTAAGTATTGATAATGTAACTGCAGAGAGGGAACCACAGGAGGGGGCAAGGGAAGTGATAAAAGCTAGTACCTGAGTGAGAGAATTTTTCTTAATTTTACTATTGGTGGTTGGTGGGATTATTTTATGAAGTCAAATCTAGTACTCGGTGCTCATCATCTGTGCTGAGAAACATCTTAAATGAATTGCACATAAAAGAAGGGTTGGATAACCTTCACAATTATATGGGAGCACCTTTTTTCGCCCTTCTTTCTCTGATTTGCATCTACCGAAGATCTGTAGTTTCTAAGCCTAGACTAGAGGAAAAAAGAACAAATTGAAGATTCTCTGTCAAATTCAATCTTCTACAAGTGGACAAAGTCCCTTTCCAGATTCTAGCTGGGTCTTCATTCTTTGACTAAATGATTTTAATGGGGAGATCATTAGTTCAGCAACAGTCTTAGTGATCAGAATTCTCATGGTTATGTGATGGCATTTCTGTAGCCTCCTTGTGTTACTGTTTTCAACTTCATGAATTTATTATGTTCTTGAAATGACAGACATTTAGAGACAGGTTGATGTTGTTTCTGGCTATGAAGCTAGAATGTTGCCAGAAATACTAGTCATGCACTTTATCTGTGTAAATGATATAAAAAGATAGACGGATGGATGGATAGATAGACATTTGCATTTATTGCAAATACAGATTAATGGTTTCACGAATAATAAGATTTCTGTTGGAATGAATGAAATAGCTGATAGGTTTTCTTTCCTGGCCATTTATTTAATTTTAATGCACCTTGGAGCCTTGTATGCGTGATTGTATTTTTAATTAGAAAATATATATAAACGGGATAGCTCTTGAGGTCTGTGAAGACAGTGACCTCTAGAACTTTCCTGTCTGTTACAGTAAACTGTGCTAACTAATGCTGGCCCAGTTACTGAGGAGGTAGTGAACTTCTTCTGTCTTTGCACAGAGTAATACAGTGGCATGGTTTTCACTAGAGCTTGGACTTTCGGGTGTGGTGTGTGGTACGCCTGGTTTTCACATGGCTTTGACATTTGCCATGTACATAGTAATAAGAAACACTTCAGGTCTTTAAAATGCAAAATCAGAAAATTGTAGATAGCTTTTTATTTCCTACACACCAGAATGCCCTGCCTCTTTGGTAGGAAGTTGTTCTTACCAGATGCATCCTTTAGTTACTGAATCACACAGTTAAAAATGGAGTTCTCTTCATACTATTCATCATGGAAATTGTAAACTTAAATGTCCACTGAACACACAGTATCTGCTTGCAAAATATTTTGGGTGGATGTTGATTTTGCTTTCAGCAGAAAGCTGAAAGAACACAAGTGGACTCTTAAAAAGAACTTCTCAGGAAAGCCAGGAAACACGTTATCAACACTTAGGCTGTTCTTATTGTGTCCCTTATCATAATTGACAGTTTGACGTAAAACTGGGTCACATGACCACCAGAGAGGTATGTAAATGGATAAGAGGTCACCTTTCACATATGCTTTCTGGAAAGGAAACACATTTAAAGGAAGTTTCGGTCAGAACAATGACAATATGCAAATGTTATGTTTTATGGGCTTTTCTCAACTAACAGAAGCTATAGCACAGTCTCCTATTACACTTTCCAAAATGCGTATCTATTTTCAGTAGCGATCACAGAAGCTTGAGATGAATGTTAGTCTTAGACAACCACTCTTTAAATAGGAGAATACAAAACCTGCTTAAATATTAACCCATAAAGATTATTCAGACTATGTTTAAAGATTGAGCTGTTGAATATGGGTTTTTAATGTATGTGGGTTTTGCATACTTAAAACTCTGCAGGATGGTTGTGCTTGGAAGGTGCCCACTTTAAACTGAAAAGGCAGCTATAGTGAAATCTAGCTCTCGGGCAGAACTTCATATCAGTATGTCTCACAGCACTGGAAAGTGCAAAACAAAATCGCTTTTCTGACATTTTACAGAGGGCACAACAGGAGCAGGGAGGTAGATGAGTTAGGAGAAGCACTCGGTCTACTGCTCTGCTTCTGCCTGGGTCTGTGACCCCTTCCTATGACACAGCTGAGGCAGGTGAGGGAGTTGCACTGCCTCCCTGGAGAAACACTTGCAGTGGTCTTTGTCCTCTCTGCTGCTTCATGAGTGTAGCAGTGAGCACATATAGCAGGGATGAGAGACTGCTGCAGCTCCATGTGTCAGGAAATGGCTGGGCTGCCTGTGAGATTTCCCCATCTGCTGCAAGGCTGGGCATCCTTCCCCACTTCAGAATACAGAACCATGTTCTTTTTCTGTGTGGTTAGGTGAGAGATAAATAAAAATATCATTGATAATGTTTCGTGGATGGAAGGTGTTATTGAAGTGGGGTTCATGTGGCTTGCCTTGCTGAAAATGACAAAGCTGTGGGACTGAAGAGCAGGCCTGTCCAACAGGCTTCTAGGAAAGACTTTTCATCATGTCACATGCCAAATCAAGTAATTTATTTTGCATTCATAGCATATTTTTGAGAAAGTTAGTAGTGTTTTTCAGCATTTATTAAATGTCTAATGAGAACTATTTTTGAAGTCCCTCTACTGAGATATTTAAGTTTTCTGAAGTAGCCTTCAAGTAGTTTCCTGCCTCTCCCTTTCACATGTCCTGCAGAGAAAATCTTTTAGGTGGCTTACTGTGGGTGAGTGAATGTGCCTTCTCGTCTCCAGCTAACGCTGTGGCATGGTTTTAGCGGTCACTTAAGTTATTCTAAGGACTAGAACTAGCCAGAAAGCTTTCACCATGACTCCAGATAACATACAGCACTCAAAATACTATACTTAAGTGCCCTACATCCTTCCAAAGCTTGGTACTCATGTCAGGTCTGTGCCCCCAGGCTTTCCCTAGTGGGCTGTCTGGACATCCTCCAAGGGCAGTGTTCCTGCTGTTGCTGTGAACAGACGTCTTCTTCCAACAAATGGAGCCAGGGCTCACAGAGCTCTCTTAAGCTTCTCCAGCCTTTTTACCCAGAAAGCACTCAACACACATGAGGGATGCAGACACAGACTTTGAAAGTGATATTTCTACATACTTCTGAAAGTATATTTCTAAATCTTAGACATTCTCCTCTAAGCAGGAGTGATTTGGGAGAGAAAATTTTATGTGAGGGAGAAAAAAAAAACATTTTCCTGGAAGGTTAGTTTTTAAAGAAAACATGGCAGTTACATGAACCTGCTGAGGAGTGTGGAGCAATAGTTTTTAACATTGGGAAGGTGGTTTTCAGCACAGTTGATGCAGTCCTGGGATTATCACAGAAGCCGTTGTCATACAGACTTGCAGTTCTTCAAGGTGTTGTCAGTATCGCAAGTATGGCACAGTTGGTGCAGTGAATAGCACTACAGTTTAACTGTAAGTCTGGTGTATCATGAATCTTCATATAGAGGTGCGTGTATGTGTGTGCAGCATATATAAAAAATGCACGTGTTCTCTTATTACTGTTACAGTATTTACATGTATATGTATTGAGGTATATATGACTGTATATAATATGAAGTATGTCACTACTAACATTTATGAAATAGGTTTGAAAAGCTCTTTTTGGAACTTTCCTAATGAAAAATTTAACGCATTAATTGTACATGTGGAAGGCTGTGGGAAGAATATAATGATTTAGTGCAGAAGCTGATTTGCTAAAATGTAATACATCAGTACCTTACTGTTTCCCTCAAATGGCAAATGCAATCAGGTTCTATAGCGAGCTAAGTGCTTTCCAGATTTTGGACCTAGAACTAAGTGCATAAAATCATTTGGTAAAACTAAGTTTGTGATTTTAGTATTTTTTATGGTTCTAATCAGCCAAAGGGCTTTTATTCATAGATTTTATATTTTGTGAAAGAAGAAAAGAGGAGGGGTTTAACCTTTCAGTCTTGTGTTTCAGCTGGAAGTGAGTTTTTATGGCTGTTATAAAGCTTTAAAATACGGATCTGTAATGACGATGATGACATTCTTAAGGATTACAGCAGAAATACATCTACTGTACATTGAGTAACTGAGCTGACATATTTTACTATGATGTCTTCAATATTAAAATCAGGTTTACAATACTGTTTTGTATAGTGACTAAACCAAATATTTACCTACCCCTTTCTTTAAACATATTTCATATATTATTCACAGTTACCTCTAGCAAACTTTTTGACTGCATGTTTCCCTTTCTGGTTAATTTCATGAGGTTTAGTCATGCTTTTAATGGCCTTTAGAAGGTCCCTTGGAGTTCTTTAGATAATAAACAAGAAACAATCCTTATGAAAACATCAGAGACTAACATTTCCATTTCTCAGACCTTAACAGCAGGAAGCTTATGAGTCTAACAGTCAGACAGGGTCAGGTTTGCAATATTGTCTTGTCCTCAGCATTTGTATTTTTCAGGAAAAGACTGCAATTAATTGTGGTCCTGTGAAAATAGTTTGTTGTAGTTTGTTTGTTGTAGCCTGGGCTATCTAAAGACTGTGAATACGAATAGAGGAAACTAAAACACATCGAATACAATTAAACTCAACAACAACATTATCTTCAATTCAGAGTGCTGTATCATATATAATGGCACAGCAATTTATATACAGCATGACTATACAGAGGTTAAAATGTATGTTTTCTTCACAAGCCAGATAAGTTCACTTTTTTAAACTTAAAAATAAGCAGTATATCTTTCCAATAAATCTGCTAACACTATAGGGCAGCTGTTAAATAAAGAGAGCTATAGAGGTTTGCTTGAACAATCCATGAAGGCAGAACTGATGATCTGACTACCTGGGAAGAATTTGTTTCAGCTAACATTTAGTACATTCCTCATTATATTAAAATGCTATAAAGTATTTTAAATGTTATTATTCTGAGTCTAAAGCAAGATTAGATTATTTTGTCACCTCTTGCTAAGTAATACCACTTTCAGTAACACGAGATGAATAAATTTCAATACCAAAATACCTTTATCCTTCTTAAATAGCAAGATAAGGACATATATTTTGTTTAATTTGGGCAAATTTTCTATAAATTGCATGTCTTCTATGTTTCACAAAATGCATGCTGCAAGATATTGATTATATTTGACCTTTACTTAATACACATTATGTAGAGCATTTCTTAGAGAAAACAGCATTTTTATTTCCTTTCTTAAAGTATCTCGCTATTAAATATTAACATTTCCTTTTATTCCAGCTCAGTTTGTAATCTAATTATGGCTAATTGTTATGTGCTAAACGCTAGTTTTATGCTTTATTAATAGAGGACCGTATTAAAGTAGCATTATCTTAAGCAAATCTATAGGCATTTATTTCTCAGAATAAGTTATTTTTCTCTGTTTGTTTGTTTTATTTTTTATAGTTACTTCTTGGGAAAGTAAGGCTTTTGCCATGTACAGTACTAGTTTGCATGTATTCATTTAAATACTAAAAACTGTAGTACTGCTCGATCCATATCTGACTGCTAGGTTTCAATTGACAGCTGAGAATTTGTGACTGGACCATGAATCAAAACGGCAGGCATTTATACCCCAGTGCCAGTGAGGATACATTGGGAATTACTTGGCAAAGGTAACATTTTAATTATTTCCACCCCTACACCACCTCTAAAAAAGTTGCATTCAGCTACAGTATCTGTTTTAGCAGGCCTCCACAGGAATATGTGACAGCATTTGATCAAAACATGTGTGTAACATTTCTCCCATACGCATTCAGGTTATCTTTAGCGTAAGCTGAATTTAGAAACTGCGTTAATTAAGCACCTGGAATCACAATGCTGTGCTGTCAAATGCAAAGATTTTGTAAATTTAAGTGAATACTGATCTTAGGCTTTAAAAATGAAAATGTCATTTGCAGAATAGAGGACATATTTTGGGGGGCTAGGAGTTAACACAAAGAAAATGATGCTGTTAGAAGTATAGATGAGTACAATAACAAATGTCTGAGGTGGTGGTGGTTTTGGACAATGAATAACCGTACTATTCATAGAGACTTTTCTGACTAACCAGGTGGTGTAGATTTAGGTCACTAACATGTACGTGAAGGTAAGATATAAACCATCTTATTTCTCAACTAAATAACAGAATAATTAGTAAAGATTTACACAAAAGAGAGTTTATTTTTGTATGAAAAAAGGCAAACAATAAAACCCATTAACCCTTGGTATATTAATAAACTACTCCTTATTATCTTTTACATCTCTTGGTATATAATGAATTATGGTAACAGTAGGAGGGGGCGTGTCTAAATAGGTGTGTAAACAAATCAAATTATTGTGATACATCAGTTTTTCACCTCTTTCATGTGCAGGATTATCTGCAACACTCAACACTTAATGGGGGTTGTACACGTGAAGCCTGTGGGTTGAGAGCCTGTCAGATGAAGTATTAACTAGTCACTCTCAAAATAATTTTAAATACTTCCTGGACATTTGTGTGCACATGAAAGTATATGTACTTCTGAATAGCTTGTGTAAGTATGTGCGTGAATGTGAGTGTGTCTATGTATTATGTACAAAATGCCTTTTGAGGCACTGTATTGTAATATGGATTGCTAGAAGGTTTGGGGTTTTTGCATGTCAACTTGGAAGGGTAATTATGGAATTTGAAAAGTGCTGTTTACAAATCTGAAGTTTAAATGCCTTGAATATTTTTGCTTTACTTTTCCTTTTTGCAATTTTTCTGAAATAATATGTAAAATCTGGAAGAATTGTGGTGGAAAAGCAAGGTGTTGTCATTTCTTCCCTTATAGATTAAATGGCACAATGGGAAATTAGCTAATGGATTCATCTCATCTCCTCAAGGGCTGTGATTCACATTATAAATCCCCATCATGCAGTAATTGCCACAGTTTTCAATGTACTGCCAAGAGTGAATCCAAACTGAGCTAGTATAGCACAGAGCGGGTGATTTATTCTCCCACTACAAAGGGTGTTGCTTTTTCAGGGCATTGACAGGCATTAGGAGAGTATATCACAACTGCCTATCTAGGAATATCCTTGAATGGTTTTATTCAGTCACCACTCCAGCCCCCTTTAAAGTAATGCCAGTTTATACTGGCTGAAATACTGTCCCAGTGTTTGCTGAATTCTGTTTTTCAGTACCCATCACACAAGACCCTTGGTCATAAACTATAAAAAGACAGGAAAGGGAGGAAAAAAGGTTTCTAGGTGATGACCAAGGAAACTTTGGTGGTGAATACAAGAATGCTCCATGATCCACTCACCTTTATAGACAAAACTGCTTTGCAGGTCACTCCCAGAGTGCTGCCTGCCACTTTGACCCTACCAACATATAAAAGTGCTGCCAGATGGGCTTAAGCACAAAGTCTGCCATGGGCATCTCTTTACAGGCCTAGGATTCACTTACTTGGCCTTGAATTAAGCACAGCCTTTGAGACCAAAGAAACAAACTGTTAGTTCTCCCTAAGTAGATAGCTTTTAGGATTTGGGCTTTGGAATACAACATTCCTCAAATCCCATGTAGGTGAGGATCTAAGAAGAGAAATGATACCTGCACAGGCTGAGGAGCAGTGAGCCCTTCTAACACTAAAACTAACACTAAAAAAAGAACATATTGCAAAAGGAATTGTTGCTTGTTGGCAAAGAAACACATCCTAGTCAAGACAGTCAAATTTTCTCCCACAAAAGGGTTTGATAAATGTTTGATTGTGTGATTTCCTCAACTCTGCAGTGTCCATTTTGATGGTACTCAATCTGACCTTCTACAGCAGGCTTTTGTGGTTATTTTAAGTATACTGATTTTTCAGAAATGTTGTTGACCTCAAGAAGGTAAAAAGTTGTCAGTGCCTCAATGTTAGCTGTCCTGTCTCTACAGAAATCAGGTAGCAGAGGTGGCCAAGCTGAAAGCTTTGTCATGGAGCATTGTTGGTGAACCACACCTTGGAAACCTGGGGAGAGCAAATGAAGTACAAACCTCTGTTATTTCTGTGTTCTTTGTCTTATTAGTAGCTGCCTGCCATACCTGATAGTAGATACGATGCATAGATTTCAAAATATGATACATACGTTTCTGAATATATTTTCTGGGTTTTTCTTTCCTTATAAAATTATGTATTTGTTGGCATTTAAAGTCCCGCGTATAGGGCAGTAGTGCTCCATACGCAAAAGACTGAACTTTGCAAAAAAAAGAGAATATGAGTAACACAAGATAAAAAAAAGAAAACCACAAAACTTTAAGTCATTGATGCACCATTTTCTTCAAAACCAGAAGACTTGCACGTAATAGTGATAACTAGATTAATACTTTGCTTAGCTGAATGAAACATTCTAGTATCTTTAAAGGAAATTCTTATATAAAACATCCTGTGAGCATCCTGAAAAAAAGGGAAAAAAAGCCAGTCATTCGGTAAAGTATTTGGAAGTAGCACGTTTTTTTTTTTTTTTGCTGTTGATACCCTAACCATCTACAGTTATGTTTTTTTCTTGCTTACAGCATTTATGGTACATATTTTATTGTGTCTGCTGAACTTTGGACAACATTTAAGCGCATCAATAGAATTAAGTTCTCAAATACTTTTAAGTTCATTTAGGTCATTTTTTTTGCTATACATATGAAGATGATACTCAAAATCCATTAAAAAAACCCCACAACCTTCTTTTTTCATAACCACAGTTCTGTGGTAATAACTGTTTTCCTAGAGACAGAAGGTGAGGGGAAGCTGTGAAAATCTGTAAGGCTCAATTAGGAAAATACAGTCTCAGTTGCTACATAAGAGCAAGAGCATATGCAACAAGTAAACTTAAGACATGAGTGAGAGTGAGAAAAAACGTGTGTGTGTCTGTGTGTAAGCCTGATAACATGAGTTTGAGCCTGAATCTCAGCCACTCTTTATGCCATTGATATTAATTCCAGCAGGACCACTCGTAAAAGTTGCCATGATGGGTCTCAGAGCGTGTTGAGTATTTGCAAGTCTTTCACAGACTGTAAGAAAATTTTCATGGCCAAAGTGTACATTTTAACTCAGTTATTGCCAAACAGATTTTTATTCCCAACCATTGTTATTTATATTCATTTTTTTAACAATCTTTCTGTGTTAGTTTTATGGGTTAACTGTTACTTTAACATTACATTTACACTACTCAGGCAAATGTACTAGGTTAGCATTTCCTGCTTTCAGTCTGTTATCTTGACACATAAGCATAGCACAACAGCTGGTTTGTTCCTGGAGATGCTGAGGGGAGCTCTGTTCTCAGAATGCTGAATTTCCTTCTCAGCTCTAGCTGTAGGGGTGTTCAGCTTTCCAAGCATAATTTTTTCCTCCCAGCACCACTCTGGGTTTATGATAATGATGCTGATAAGGCAATCAAATGGGATAATCACTGATTTGTGAAAGAAATAGGAGGGGAATTGAGAAAGGGGGCAGATTGCTTTTGTAGCACAGTACCTTGTGTGTGTTTGATGTGAAGCAAACACATAGCTAAAGTAAAACGGTCAGCAGCATTGCTGTGGCAAGCACATTTTGGCAAACACAGACACCTGTTAGAGCAATGGTTCATACCCTATGGCCCCCACCTCCCCCGCCCCAAACCCCTGGGGCAATGTTTTGGAATAGAAGCATCAATTCATTACAATTTAAGAACAAAAATGCTGAAGTATCCTGATTGTAAAAGTATTCATAGAAAGAAAACCTAATGATTTCTGGTCTTTATCAATTTAAATTGCTAAGTCTAATAGTTTTGCCCAACTCTGTAATGCAGAAAGATGTGCAGAACATTACGTTTCCTCTCCATCTAGGCAAACATCTTCAGAACACTTCCTAAGAAATTAATTGTATTCAAGCCAGACTTGCATGCTGCCATCCCACAGGAAATGGATCAGCAATCCATTAAGATGCCATTAGATAATCTAATTTGGAACTTAATCTCTAAATTAACCATGCTCCATACTTGAAGCATACTTGAGAGAAAGAAAAAAAGTTTATGTTTGAATCGATAGGGGAGCCGAAGCGTGAAGAAGGCTGTTTGTTTTTTCTGTAGCTGTGGTCACGTCTCAAGCCGTCTGGTAACCAGGAGAAACCAGACATGATGTAATTCCAGATTGAACTTGAACTTCAGGGACTTAGAATGGGGGAACAATGAACCATAGGAATCAATAATGTCCATTTTCCACATGATTATGTTTGGAGCTTTAAGTTAACCTTTATGGGAGAAGCAGCAAGAACTGTAGTGTGACCAAAATGAATGAGATGATCCAGAAGCAAGACGTTAAAGTAAAGAAAACAACTTCAGTAATATTTTCTGAGCAGCACTGCAGATTCCAGCAGGATTAGAAAAGTTCCCGCTTTGCAGTGAACTGGTTGCCTGTTCTGAGCGCTCTTTGTTCTACTTAGGTAGGACAAACGTAATCTTATGTTTCCTGTCAGATGATTTTTGGCAGCACTGGTGGGGAAGGAGGAGCATATTATAGAGAATTCCCAAGTGTAAACTGTATCTTTAACCCCTTGGTTACTCCAGTTTTCTACTTCTTGACCATCTTACCTCCAATTGTTTCTTTTGAAGCAGTAAAACTATGCTGTAGGATTTTGGTATTTTTTGGGGTGCACTTAGGATT